AATAATCAGCCAGATTAATAGGTAGAGGGGGAAAAAAAAATATAACTTCAGTAAATAATACAACATTCTAATAACTTTAGCTAAATAATATTGCTGCCTGGGAAACAATGACCAGAAATGTTACGCTGCCTTCACTACTTTGCTCAAAAATATTTTTTTTTCTGTCTCTGTGTTTACTTTTTATAAATGTTAAGTTCAGCTTAATATTAGCACTGAGGATTCTTGTATTAGCTCCCCAAAAGAAGGCAGTTATTTGAGAAGTTCTTAACATGAAAATATTTACAATTAGTGAAAAGATACACAGAATTAGAACGATTTGAAAAACTACCTGTTTTAAAAGTGTAAGATGGATTGTTAATTAAGACAGATGAGTAAATAGGAATGTTTTTAGCTGTTTTCCCTCTTCAAAACAAATGAAGGTGCTCTGGAATGGCTGTTCTTTGTTATTAAGATCTTTGAATTAAAAAAATTTGAATAGCCAGAAGCCAACAAATACTCGTGATATTAAATATCCAGCTCTACTTAATCCTTCTCTCAGCAAAGGCAAACGTGTGGGGGACAATTTGTGTGCCGCTCAAATAGCTGGTCCTTTAATTGCGCAGGCCCTACATTTTGTAGGCAACGGAAAATCATGTTTTGTTAACAAACGTAGAAAGCTTATGTGCTAGGAGAAATAATTGGTTTGGTGTGGAAAAGAACGTGGCAGCGAAAGAAGATTTTGTGGTTTTCTTTTTGGAAAATACAGGCATCTAAACTAAAAGTGCTGCTTTCCACTTCTACCCAGATGGCATCATTAATCTTCCTACCCCAAGCCCTCAGAAGCCAAATCCACCAGCCCCTTACAAGGGTAACCAAGTCTGCAACGTTATTTTAGTGCATATAAAAAACAGAAGTGAAGAGAGCTCACTTTCCTAACTCTTATGGAAGAAACATGTTATACAGAAACAACAGCTCATGAAAATGTCAGGTTCAACACTGAAAACTGATGCCTGGTAATCACAGACAGATGAAAAGAATTTAAAATAGATTTTGTCAGCAGCCTTCACTGTCAAATGTATCTTGTGTATCTAAATACAGACCGTGCTTAGGGCCCACTATAGTGAGCTGGATCTATTGATAGCTTTGTGTTTTCCCCTTGAAACATACTAAAACATGAATAAATCAGAGCAGATATATACTTTTTCAGAAAACATTGCAGAATCCTACACTGTGAGATCTGGCTCTATTTCTGGAAAACACATTTAGTTATGAGGTACAGCGGGAACCTGTGAAAACTCCCTTTCTCACCAACTGAGACATTCACATGCAGCAACACACAACCGATCAGATAATCCTACTGACACTTCTCAGTTAACTAATGGGGGAAAGCTGAGTGCTTTCTTGACAGCAGTTCACCAAGTAACTTCTTCTTGCTAGCTGTTGATGTGTGACTAAAATAAGTAACTCAAGTCCCGTAAAATGAATAGAGTAAGGGAGTGAATTTAAAAACAGTTGGTGCAATAAAAGCTGTATCTGGTGTAGTTGTACATCCTAATGTCCACTAGTATTTATCCACTTTTATATAGTTGTTTTTCTAATGGTATTTTGTTCCCATAATCCCACACTAAAGGAAGCAACACCTGAAGCTGTCACTGGTGGATAACCAGGCATACGTTATTTGCCCATTGGTCCAACTGGTCCAGACGACTCCTCGAAGAAACAGCAGTGAAAACTTCCAGCCAATGGGGCAGATTTTTGTGCTCCCTCCACAAGGTAACTGCAAGACCAGTCATGTGGTCATATACCCACTAAAGTGAGGGGGAGGAAGTCCCATTCTATTTTATATTTTCAGGCATATAACTTGACAGTACTCATTTTAGCAAAATCAAGATGGAAGTACAAATTGCTGTAACAAACATTTTCCTTTCATGTGATTCACAAAGGAAGAATTCCTTTGAACGTAGAAAAATGGGAAATACACTTACCATGTAGTGATTTCATTCCCAAAGTATACGATGGTCTCCGTAACGGCAGCGACTTTGGGAGAGAAGGGTACGTGCTGGTGAATAGGACATCATTTGGCATGGCTTGGTCCAAGAGTGAGGCCCGTGAGGCGAAGAAGTGGTCCCTTTGACCACTGTAAATACTCTCATCTGACAAAGTCCTTTGCAAGGCACGCCTTGTGGTAGGAGTGCTGGGAAAGGGAGACTGACAGGACAGAGTGTGTGACTATACATTCATAAAACAAATAAAAAGAAATGAGAAAAAAATAATCAATAAAGAAACTTTTGAAGTCTATGTTGACATCACTTTTTAAAACACTGGTTTTTGCATAAGAAAGCAACTGTTAACATAGTGTTTTTTCAGAGTGGATAGGAAAAAAGAACTAAAGGAATCTGCTTTGAAGGAGATTATAACTAGATAAACATATATAGGTCTTTTTTAGCCTATCTCACATTCTACTTTTTAAATACCCTTCAAACTTCTCCTGAAGTGGAAATCTCAGGCAGCCCTCAAGGATTCTAGAGCTGACGTTTACAGAAACAGACCGAATGCTGCATAAACCAGAGCTGTCCCTCGTGCCTGGGGGAGGCTGCCTTCCTGCAGGCAGAGCACCAGCAAATGCCAACTAATTAAAAGCCTCATATTACTGAACAACTAGGAACACCCACCACCGCTTTGATTCTTCAGAAGGATTTGAATCAAAATTAAGTAAATGGTCCCATGAGTAAGAGAACTTGTGTCTTACCCCCACCATCCTCCCAGCTTCCTCCATGCTCCACATAGGAGAGGAGAAAGGAATGCTGTGGTTAGCCTGGAGTTACGTACTCTCTGGCCAGTGCCAGTGAGCGGCTATCAAAGAACACATAACCGTTCCCATCAGCAGAGACACTGATTTTCACGAAACCTGTAGCAACATAACTGTCTCTAAGACATAACATTTCTTTACGGTTTGGTTGAAATTTGGTCTAAAGGCTTTCATGGAGAAATGGCAAACAGAAAAGAAGACCTCACCACCCTCATTTGGTCTGGAA